TCAAGGGCCGGGCAATTAGGGTTTCGGGCTGCGGGCTCAGGCTATATACTACTTCCATCAAGGGCCTGGTAGTAGGGTTTCGGGCTTTGGGCTGAGGCTAAGTGTTTATAGTACTTCCGAATCAAGGGCCAGGCAATTAGGGTTTCGGGCTTTGGGCTCAGGCTAAGCTTAGTGTTCATAGTACTTCCATCAAGGGCCTGGCAATTAGGGTTTCGGGCTTCGGGCTCAGGCTAATTATAGTACTTCCATCAAGGGCCTGGCATTTCGGGTTTCGGGCTTCAGGCTCATGGTGATAAAGTCTATATAGCAGGCAGCACCCACTGAAGAACCAGCCCGTACGAGGACCCCATTATNNTGATACCCTGTGCTTCTTTCGGCCTACCCAACCACATCAGATACATTAAATGATCAAGCATGCTGTGAGCTCACTCCTGGCAGAAACCCTTGCGGGATCATCTCCGAAGCTGTTGCAAAGCCTTTATAGCAGCTGGCACCCAAATTGTAATAGTATAGCACCTAACCACGGATTGAAGCAACCCCAGAGTGCTCACGGTTTGCTTCCGGTTGTAACATCAGGGCATGGGGTTTTGGATCGAGGCTTGTTGGGCTCCCCATAGTCCAAGTGATTGCTTGCCGGCTTAAAGACAAAGCCCTATATATATATATGTAGAAGCGAATGCACCCGGAGCACATCTGAGGCTTCTACGATCCAGGTTGCGGCGGCTATTGCGGCTATTCTTCGATCTAAGATCGAGGACCTCGAGCTAGATATCGGTTTGTGAGGGTCCAGAGCTAGTCTAGGCTGGCTAGGCTTGGGAGCACACAGCACTTTTAAACACACCATCCACACACAACCTAGTCTTGGTCGTCTCCGTTCCTCTCCAGCATCCCCTCAGCAACCGAGCCGAGCCGCTGGAAGCCTGAGGCAGCAGAGGTTGAGAGAAGGAGTCAGATGTTTAGGGTTTCAAGAGCCTAGAGTCTTTCTGTTCAGGGGGTTGGGCTTTCTACCGGGCACAGACAGTCTCGTTAGATTTAAGCATATGCCGACCATGCGTGTGCACACCCCGGAAGTCTCAAATTCTGAATATCGGGTGAGAACAGGGGGCCTTCACTAAGCTCTGGATCATTCTCGCTCGGCTCTTCCTCGGCGTCCTCGTTGTCGTCGTTCTCGTCCTCGTTGTCGCCATCGCCGCCCTTCTTCTCCGTCTCGTTGTCGCCCGGAGGGACTGGCCTAAAGTCGATACAGTGAAACACAATAATCTTTGGGGTTTAGGGACTATTTAGGGTTTATAAGGTTTATAGTCTAAGCCTCCACTATAGGACAAAACAGCACTACTTGCTGAATCTAAACCAAGACTCGCCTCAGGAAAGCCTTTCAGCTTGAGCTTGTTGATGTACTTCCAGGAAAGGTGCTCTT